CCAAATCACCTCGCGCCGGGTGACTGTGCGCGTCACGTGTCACGTGCGTGCGGTAGTGTGAAGCGTGAAACAGGATCTACCACGTGGTCACTCACCCATGCGCTCGCCCCTTCAATCAGAATTTCTAGCTTGGGCCTACACCGATCTGTTAGGCACGGAGCACTCGTAACTCCAAGAGTCGTTCTGAAGCTAGGACACTGTGACTGCGCAGGGTATGTGGTCCGATGTGAGCGGTTGGACTCTTGATTTTGCTGGCTTTCGAGGGCATCAGGAATCGGTCAGAATAATTTTGACTCTGCTGAACAGCGCGCGCGTGCCTGCATCAATCATAATCACGAAATCAAGAATCACAATGGCAGTCAAGAGTCTTGAGTGTGGATATCAGAAATCGTTGAATGCTGCTTTCAGATCTGAATGCAGCTTGCTTCATCAAGCGTGTCGAGATTCAAATACTCACCACGACTCCCTGCATGAACTCACAATGTTTGGTGAAATCTTGATTGAGCCTGCATACATCCTGTGCGTTCCGCTCAATTCTCACCCATCTTCGTCAGATTCTTGATTCGCAGCCCATTCAGAAGCGGCGGTCGACACTCAGACTTTTATTTCAAAGTGTGACAAGGTCTGCCTCAGCCGCTCCCTCTGCACCACCACCCGCGTAGAGTCTGCGCCTGATCCACTTGACTGCTGTCGTACCTCCCTCGCTGCCTCCTCCAAGCCCTGTTTCTGCTTTGCAAACCGTACATCAGCTTGGCTGGAAACAACCACCACCACCACCACCATCACTCTGGTTCTCTGACCATTTGCACGCTGCGCCACCTGTTGTCAGTCCACTCAGAATTCCGTGCTCTATCTACCAGCTACATCAAGCCGCCTCTGTCGCGCTCGCAGCTGTCGACAAGGACCAGCAAAGCAACTACTTGGTCACAAGGTCACCTCTCTGGCTCACCCAAACATGTCGGAACGAGGCGAGCGCGATCGCGATCGCGAGCGTTCAGATAGGAGAGCAGGGCGTCACGGCGGCGGCGGCGGTGACGAGCACGGCTCTGCGTACTCCTCATCTTACAGGGACTACGATCGAGGAGGCGATCGCTATAGTGACAGGTACGCGGACCGACAAGCGGATAGGTACGCTTCGGGTGGTGTAAGGGATGACCGAAGAAGAAGAGACTACGACCGCGATGCGGACTACGGCAGAGACAGAGACCGCAAGTATGCGTGAGTTCTGCTTCCTCGCCAAAACACTTCCTCGCGCTCCATCAGTGCGCACGGGGTGCTGTCCTCTGCTGGCACAGTGAAAAAGGTGGCGTCTGACTCACACCCACTTGCCCCTCGCTCCGCGCAGTCGACGCGATGATGATCACTCTCGAGGGTCGCGATACGATGCGCCGCGAGACTATGAGGCAGACAGATGGGCAGGTCGGGATCGCAACGATGGCGCATACAGGCGCGAAGATCCGTACGCACGCAGAGGAGGAGATCCTTGGCGCGACCAACCACCCACGAGCCGTGTAGACGAGATGATGAGGCGAAGTCCCACACCACCAGGAACTAGGCGCATCAGCGAGAGACTGCGAAAGAGCAACAAGTGGGATGTAAAGCCGCCCGGTTTTGAAGAGATGTCGGCTCAGCAAGCCAAAGCGACTGGTGAGTCCTTGAGACTGGGAGACAGGTCACACACCGCGCTGCTCCATTTAGGGCCTGTCAGAGTCGCTTCACCGACGCTGACCACCTGCTCCTCCTTCATTGCTCGTTCGCGCAGGACTTTTTGGCACGCCAGGCCAGTCCAGAGGTGGTGCTGGCACGCATGCTGGCTCCTCCCTTCCGCCCATTCGCATGGGCAGCGATGTGGCTGGCTTGACCGACGCTCAGCGACAGGCGGCAGGCCTCAATGGTACGTTGGCGGCCCGCGGACTGCGTAGATTGTACGTTGGCAACGTGCAACCAATGGCAACAGAGGGCGCATTCATGTCCTTCTTCAATGCCAAGATGCTGGAGATGAACTTTGCTTCCATGCCTGGCGAACCATGCATGTCAGTTCAGGTCAATCCGGACAAGGGATGGGCTTTCCTAGAATTCAGAACTCCAGAAGAGGCTACAAATGCGATGGGCTTCGATGGTATCATCTTCCAAGGTGCAAGCTTGAAAATTCGCAGACCAAAGGACTACACTGGACCCGATGTCAACCCTCCCTCAAATGTTCACGTGCCGGGCGTCATCTCCACCAATGTGCCCGATGGACCGAACAAGATCTATATCGGTGGCTTGCCAACTTATCTGCAAGAGGAGCAGGTCATCGAGTTGCTCAAGTCCTTTGGCGAGTTGAGAGCTTTCAACTTGGTCAGAGAAGCTGGCAACGGGGCCAGTAAAGGCTATGCTTTCTGCGAGTACGTCGACCATACTCTCACGGAAGTGGCTTGTGCAGGTCTCAACGAAATGGAGCTTGGAGATCGCAAGCTGGTTGTGCAGAAGGCTAGCAGTCAGTCAGGAGGACGCAATGTCAATCCGATGGGAGCTACTGGATCCAACATGGCACCTCTTGGTGCACCGGGCGCAGGCGGTCTTACGCTTCCCTCTGCAGCTGCTAATGGGACTGGCGAGCCAACCCGAGCAATGACGATGCTCAACATGGTCACGCCAAAGGAACTAGAGGACGACACCGAGTACGGAGAAATTTTGGAGGACATCGCAGAGGAGTGCTCCAAGTACGGCATCATCTCGGACATTCGCATTCCCAGGCCTGTCGTTCAGTCCAAGGGTGCTGCTGCTCAAAATTGGAAAACGACCGCCGCTGGCTCGAGCGGCGAGACGGACGCCGAGGGCAAGGTCAAGGAACGAGAGGGTGTAGGGCGAGTCTACATCCGATATGAACAGGTGGATCAATGTCAACAAGCTCTGCGCGGGCTTGCTGGCAGGCACTTTGGAGGTCGCACAGTCATTTGCGCATTCATCAACGAGGATGATTGTGAGTTCGAGCAGAATACGTAGAACGCGAACCTGGCAGGGTGTGTGCTCATTCGCTTCCTCTTTGCGTTTGTCATCAGGGCCCGCCGATGAAGACGGCGGTATTGGAGCTGCAGGCCAAGAGGTTGCAGCTGCATAAGAGTGCCCGTACTGTGACTCATCGTGTTGAAATATCCGTCGCTTCCAAAAATAGCGCGCTACTCGCAGCTCACTCATGCAAATCATGTGAGCACGCTAGCGCTTACGTCTTACAAATCTGCAGGTCCGACGCCGCCGCGCCCCAAGTTACTTTGACGGCATTCAGATAAGATTGTGGTAATGACAGCTTGTGCTCAACCTGCGCACTGTTGGCCGGCAGCAAGCTCGCACAGTGGGAGGAGAGCGTGGAGTGGTGGCTGGAAGATCAACATTGCCAAGTTGGAAAGTACGCAGATCACACCTTGGCCCATGTCGCTCCGTTGAAGTAGATGGCGGGCGTTGTGTAGAGTGAAAAGTCATGTCTATGATGGGTGAGGCTTTGATCGACTTGCTGCTCCACGTACCCAGGTCCACGGAGCCCACGGTAGGCAAAGATGGTTTTGCCCTTGGCGAAGCTGAAGGGACCTGCGCCATTAGCTTGCCATAGCTTAGGATTCACGATGGTGCCCTGTGCAGTCACAAGCTCTCTCAGGACTCGAAGTAGCATCGGTAGCGCAGCAAAGGCAGCGGAATTTGACTCACGAGGTTGCTGTTTTGAACCACGACGACGCTGTCTACCGCCCAGGGACGCGCCAGCCAGCACGTGCCATCCTTTACGTCGGCAAATCCGTCATTGGCACGGACAATGTTGACGTCATTGAGCACAACAGAGCCTCCGGTAGTGCTTCGCCAAGCTACAATGGCACCTCCGCAGCCTCGATTGTAGATTGTTGTGCCTTGCAAGAAAGCCTTGCCAGCCCCTGCGGTAGGAATGTGGAAGATCTGCAAATTAGACACATGCGGCTGACAGGAAGCGTTGCGGTGCACACGACAGACTGACCGTAAATCATGTCCACCCAACCGGAGATGCTGCCTCGCTCGAGCAGGCATAGACCATTGCACAAGAACGTGTCTTGCCAACTCTTCTGCTTGACGTCTACAAGCACAGCTTGGGTGCTCTGGGACACTGCCACCGCCAGAGTGGGGGTCTTGGGATGCTTGCCGCGGGCAGATTGACCTGAATTGTGATCTTCAGCGGTGTTGAGGACGTGGACATTTTCAAGTCTAATCATGCCCTTGGCCTTGAGATACAGCGTGGCACTATCGACGTTGCTGCTTGTGGTAAAGGCGGCGTTGGTAAGGATCGGAGCTGAGCCCGATCTCTCCCCCACTATCGTGCAGGCGTGTTCAACGATGAATTGACCGTTGAACGTCGATCCGCTCCTGAGCAAAATTAGCGGCGCCCGCTTAGCCAGGGCGGCGTGGAGCGCAGCGACGTTGCTGACCACGGCGGCGTCTGGCGAAATGCTCGGGAGCGCTTCGACGTTCCAGCAGGAGAGAAGCGAGAGCACAGCCAAGCGTCTGAAGAGGAGCATGCTGAAGGACGAGCCTGGTAAGCGTGAGGTTGCCAGTGGGGTGACCAGAGCGAAAGAGCAGAGGAACAGACGTGATGATGACATCAGCAAACCGAGCACACATTGCAAGATGCACCGAGCGAGCTTATATACTTCTTCTTTGAATACATTCACCAAGCACCACTTGTTCGCCCCTGCGGCACAGCCGTTGGATTCAAGCTGCCATTGCATCTTTCTCGCTCGTGCAGACACTTTCTGCTTCGATGCCAGAAAAGACGTTTCCTGCCTCTATGGAACTCACGGAAGCGCCCTTTGTTTGTTCGTCACGCATCAGCGGGAGCAGCACACCGAGGGAGCAGACACGATCCCTTGCCTGCAATTAGAACGCGAACGGGTCTCCCGTGCTCCCGTGCTCCCGTACGTGGCCCTGTCGCGAATTAGACGGCTCAAGAACGCCCTCTTTATCGTTTGGATCGCA